GAACGTTCGTTGGACTATAATCGTTGGACAGAGCTAGGAGAGTTCAGCGGGTACGGTTCGGCCGTAATGTTATTCAGCAGACGGCTTTGTATGGATATCGGGAGGCCGTAGAGCACAGATGCTGTCCGTCGGAGAAGCGAGCCGCGTCTCGAGTAGGTGCGTAAGAACCCCTTTAAACACTGGCTAACGGCCTGTCTCGACAACCCTCCAGAGGACGTATTCGCCTCGCAAGATCGCGTTAGCTTACTCGCACTCGTATGTACGTACCGTCGCGGTTCATCCGCTTTCATGAATCGTAATTACGCATTAAGTGCGACGACCCCTTCTCTTAAACATCGCACAGCCGTTCTATCCCTCTCGGATAGAGAATGCTTGTTGTCTCGAACGTTTGGCCGAGAGACCCTTCTGTTAGTTTCGTCGTACTTGTTTGTTTATCGACACCCGTTACATTGTTTCATCTTTTCACTACCGAAATTGTGTGACCGAAGGAAATTCGTTGGACGACGCGGGGGAAAAGGAAGAAAAGCGGGATTGAGGGTAGAAAGTGGTATAACTGAGAACGGTTCGAGGAGAACAGCCACGGATCGTTCGACGAAGCGAAATTAATTTTTCCTAAGCAGATCCCGGTCATCGACGAAGCGGCCCGCGGGCTAGGAGCGAGCGAGTGCTGCAGGTGCTGGGAATGGTCAATATAACCTCAAAATGTAAATCATATTGCTATTCCCCGAGGGCCTGTTCTCTCGCTCTACGAGCGTGTATTAAACGTGGTCCGGGGGTAAGACGACCAGGCCTCTATATTAGTTTCCGCGGCTTTCCCTATTAGATTTGCCCGTCGCGTTTCCCCCGATTGTTTACGCGGCCCGGCTAGGCTAATTCTCCTAGATAGACGACGATTTCGAAACAGCCTCGAGATATAACCCCGACGCGCAAATGTAAATCTGTTTGCCTGCCCTGCCTTCTCTTACCGGAACAGGTTACTCCGCGATTTCTAAGGTTCACCTTCGAACGAGATCTCGGAGG